CCAGGCAGCTAGTACTCAAATTATTACTTTTAATATTTTCATTGAAATTGTAATTTTTTCTTTAGCAAGAATGAGTACAAATAAAGATTGATTATTAAAAGGCAATCATATTAAAAAAAATAAAATTAAAATATAATAAAAAAATTAAATAAACCTCATACTAAAAAAATATAAAATAAACTGTAAAATAAGATAAACTGTAGCATTCTGCTGTTCTTTTTCTTTTCCAAATGTTTCATTGCTCTTGGTTTCACTAACTCAAATTTGGAGCTTGCAAATTATACAACATATTCGTATTCTTGGTATTGGACTGGGACTAGCTTGCAACTGAGGCTCATGCGGGGGATTATCATTAAAAAGATATTAATAATGTCAGTTTCAAGGTAGTCCCAGTCTAATACCCAGATATGAACATGATCTATTCTAGAGCAGAGACAATATTGCCCTTAGCAGCATGAACCAGCATCCCACATTTAGATTGGCTGGGATTGACGAGCACTCTCAGATGTGGAGCCTGGTTCTACCTGTTGGTAACCATCCAAGTTTGCTGGGCAGAAGTATTTCCAACCATTATAGCAAAGAAGGCACCAGAGGTAAACAAGGGGTACATATGCCAGACCATTCACAGTTTTTTCAAGTTTGTCCTGTACAGATGGTGATACTTCACTTCTGATGCCTGTGCTGAAGATGACAATGAAACACAAGTTTGTGAGAAGGATGGCATCAAGAGTATTGAGCCAGTTGTAATCCTCATTGGCAATATTGTTAGCAGGCTCATAATTCATGTCATTATTTGGTCTTGTCTTGTATGGCTGAAGGTAGAGGCATGTTACCACAATGACGACACTGGATATCTCAAGGATGGATCTTTTCAGAGGCCCGAATGGAACATACAGGGCAATAACCAAGATGTAAATACGACATATGAAGTAATAAGCTGCAAACCATCTGTACTCGTCTTTAAAGCACTTCTGGAAAGTGTCAAAGAACAATCTGAAATTGTTCAAGAACTGGAAGCACTTCAAGAACCAAGGGGTAAAGAGCAGCACCAACGGTACAAAAATGACAAAAAAAATAAACCAAAGACAAGCAATGATGGTATATGGCAAGTGTGTTTTCCAGTCTCTTACAAATTCAATGTTACCATCAGCATATAGCACCCACCTTCCATTGATGGGAACATAGTGAATAATGTTACAAGAAATCATTGTAATGTCTGTATAACAGAGGACCAACAATGTACAGAAGGCGCGGGAAACATTCCTGTTGATGTAACAAGCAGGACGGCACCTTCCAAGCTTAGCCAGAACTATTAGCAGGAGAAGGACATAACAGGGTAAAATGTAGTTTACTCCAAGTTTCTCAAGGTTGGTCAATCCAGCATAGAAACATGTCCCAAAACCTTTGACTCTCACGTTAGCGACACCAATCACAAAAGAAATGAATTTATCAAGGACCTGTCCTTCTTGAAGCAGAAATGTGATAATCTGATATGAATACAGCCATGCATTGAGGTAACTTGTAAAGATGTCCAATTCAATGCGTAGTACCACCAATACCAGCAGCAAAGTGACTATAAAAAATACCAACAGAAGCCAGAGATGGTTGTTGCCACATTCTCTTGAGCATTTCTCATCCCCTAAATTCACTGAGTAGCCATGTTTACACGCTCCACACAGTACACTTGTACCATTGCGGCCATCAGTACAGATTGTTTGGCTATTGTATTTAAAGGCTGGATCATGTTTGGGGAAATTGCAGTAATTTGGTGGACAAGGGTATGTGATAAATGTACGTCCTATCTTTCCACCCCAGTATCCTCTCTTCAAGAAGACATGTTTAGAGTCAGCACTGCAGTTCCAAATACCTGTATCATGTCGTTCCATACATGTGCACGTGTTTGCGTTGTCATATTGCTCAAAACCAGGATGACAGTCCTGCAAGAGCACAGTCTTGGAGACCTTCTGCGCAACACGACCTGCAACTGTAGTAGCATGAACTTCAAACTTGTCGTCCTTCTTTCCAAGAAGATGCAAATTGTTGATTTGGGAAGAACTGCCTTGAATCAGAAACAAGTCTGAGGCTGTATCAAGAGTCACATTGTTTGTGATGCTTATGCTTACCATGCCTAAAACAGGGCTGTTCTTTTCATCTATCAGTTCCACAGTTGCACTGAAATTTTGGCCTGGGGAAACCTTCCAATTACTTTCATTTAACCTAATTAAGACTGGGTCAGTAGAAATCTGTTCTCCAGGGCTTGTATTTTCATCTCGGTACTCAAACACATTGGGCCATTCAAGGGATTTGTTGTTGATGCGGGGCTCCCCAATTTGACGGCATCCTTGGAGAGTGGAGGCATAAACTGACTTTCCACCACCACTAGATGCTTGATTACCTTTAAAAACTACTTTGGCCTGCCATTCAGTGATGTTCTCTAGACTACCCCAGTTGTTATAAGCGATAAAACAGGGCCGAGTATTAAGCTCTGTTGTGCGAAAAGCTATCACAGGTGGCCCAGAATCCCTCACGTAGATAGCTCCACCCTGCTGCTGAGCAGTGTTGTTAAAGAAATTAATGTTACTGTGTGGCATAAGCATTAACACTGATGTGCCATACAATCCTAATGCACCTCCCTGGCCTCCAGTGTTATTTCTAAAGGTCACATTGCCAAAAAAATGCAGCACTGCATTCTCAATGACCATGGCAGTATTGTTATTGTGGTCAATGTTCCCAACCCCTCTAAAAATGATAGGCAATGAGTAAGAATAGATTGCACCTTGTCCAATAACCTGCTTATCTTCTGTCAAAATAATTAGGTTGGTGGTGATATTACAGTCTTCAAGAACTATAGTGTGGACAAATTTCGGCCATTTTGCCATCCAATCTTGGCGCCCATTTACAGGTGACGGGGCAGCCAGTCCAATAGCAGAACCCATTGTTGCTGTGTTGTTCCTCCACTCACAGTTGAAAAATGTCATGTGAAGGCTTCTCCCATCGCTGATATTTAAAAATGAGAAAGCTCCATGATGCGAGACACCTCCACCTAACATTGCGGTGTTATTTATGAACTGACAGTCTTCATACCTCATTTGGTTTGCAAGTAATTGTTGACTATCACTGCCAGCTAGAGTCCCACTCCTAATAGCTCCTCCAGCATAGTGCGCACTGTTATTAGTAAAAGTGCAATGTTTAACTTCGAGTGTGTTGTTTTGAACTTCATCTTGAAATTCAATGAAAAGTCCTCCTCCCCAAAGGGCATAATTGTCTTCAAAGCGGCAGTGGGTTATCTGGATGACATTATGTTTTGCCACACCCTTGACAAATATCGACAGCCCTCCTCCTCTTCCAAAGGGAATGTGATCACTTCCGTGTGGGTCGTCAATCATTGTTGCAAAGGTTTGATCTGAAGCATTGTTATTTCTAAACGTGCAATTGTGAAGAACGTACCTGCTGTTGCTGTCAAATTCAGCAAACAATGTCGCATCGAGATCAGATGGAAAGGTTCTTTCCTTGTACGTGTACTCAATGTAAACACCACCTCCAGCAACTGCAGTGTTTGAAGAAGAGGAGTGTCCAATGGGTCGATTGCTCTCAAACCAGGAATGTGAAATTTGTACATCACCCCCCACATCGTACATGTTCAGCCCGATTCCAGGACTTTGAACAATCCAACAATTGTCGACGACTACATCCCTGCATTTGAGAAGAAACACGGCAGAGAGGAAAGGCATGTGATAATGGCCTTTAAACGCACTACCAGTTGTGCTGTTGTGTAAACCTCCACAGCCTTGTAGCAAAATGCTTCGTAGCGTGATGTTTTCGCAGCTTTCAAAAGAAAGACTTCCGTTTTGGTGACATTCAATGGTGACGGAGGCTGATTCATCATCTCCAACCACGCCAATCTCCCTCAAATTGGTAAAGTTGAAATGCTCGGTTAGATTGTACGAATAATTCCCAGATCGTAGCAGGACAAATGTGGAATTCGTCACATGTTTCAGAGCGTAATCCAGAGTCTTGCAAGGAAGAGAAGTTTCATTCCAACACGTGCTGTTGTTAGTTCCATTATCTTGAGAAACCACGATCGTCTTCAGTTCTGCACGCGGCAAAAGAAAAGGAGCACTGGCTGAAATGTAAATAACGACGATAATCGAGACAAAATAAGACGTTCCATGCATTGTAACTCTCTTTCGAAAGTGTAAGTGCAAAACATTAGACTTTGCTTTTCCGCCGAGGAACCGAGCCAATGGGAGGTCGCCTGGTGAAGTGGATGGGAGGGTAGCTTTGCACTTCCGTCCTGCGTGGCAGACACGTCTAACACCTTTTGACCAATTGTATGTGTTGTTGTTTCTTCCAATGAAAATGCGTTGTGATCGTGTCCTCTGAGATTATTTTACTAGGGGACGGGACGGTGTTTGCCAGATGAACGCTCGAAACCTATCGATTGTGACTCTTATGTTTTGTCGGATCTTTCTGCATGTTCCGAAACACATTTACAGCTCCCTTTGAAGCCTAATATTGTTTTAAGCAAAACTCCTGGGTACAATCATGAAAACAAATGTACAATACATTTCCCTGAATGTTCCCTACCAAGTACAGTCTCTTAACATAAATTAAAATAGGTCACCATGCTTGCAAAAGAGATATGATGTACCAGTCTTACCCTATTTTGCCAGGTCTAGTACTATTCATTTATTTCATCACTCCACATTACAGTTTAACTTTTTGATGACCTTTGATAGGCGTACATGAAGTTTTGAGCATAAGGAAGAACATAATAAACAACTTACGAAAAAGAATCTAAAATAATCCAAATGACATAGAATCAAAACGTTCCTCAAATTGTTGGATTTTAAAGTCATAATTTGTGTCCATGGGTAATGATTTTGTCTGCGTGCTATTGAATAAGTGTAAAATTCTGCACTCGAAGGGTTTGCAATGTAGTACTAAGGAATCACCTCAGCTGTAAGCAGTAAAGGTTAGGGTTGTTTGTCCTTCTTTTCTTCTGTTGTTGACTGGCATCCTTTAAGCTGTTTGTTACGAAGCAATGTTTTGTAGACACATAGTGTTTATAGTCATCATGTGACACTGCTTCAAGAAGTACTTGCACAGGTTTCCATTTCTATGTGGCTAATCCATTAATTAGTACCAGGAGGGATACATGCCAATGTCTTGTCGTGTCTTCATTAGGTGGCATTGCCATTATCTCTTTGTACCAACTCTTCTGTGAGGAACATTACCATTCTTGTTATCTTCTGGAGAATTTTTTCATATTTTTGGGTACTTGTGTTGTTTGCTCTTTTAATGTATAAAGAAGGGGAAAACGGTTTGTTTATCTACTTGTATTTTTATTCTCAAGGATGTCTTGTATCACTAGGATTCAAACTCCCAATGTCTCACATGGCGAGCTAGCTCTTATCACACTGTGCTACTTGTAAATCAGTTACCAGAGGGCAACAGTATCAATGATTTATTTACGTACCCCAGGCTCAAGTGTTTTGTTCAGTCTATACCTCACTTTTGACCAAACAAAATGATATTGCCGTTTTTGACTACAGCACAAGGAAGACATGTACAGATACATGTAAAATGTGTAGGCAGGCCTGAGTAACAAACAGTTTCTTAACGTTGAACTTTTTCATTTTGCAAATATCGCAACACACCCCTGAATGTTCAAACGGTGTTCCAGCTAAGTTTTGAAAGCAAGGGGTCAGACCATTTATCAGGCATTTTTGTGGCCTGTGGGTGACAGGATTAATGGGGTTACACTGTATTAGCTACTATTCCAGGTCAACAAAATTGTGTTGGATAAATTTGTTTTATATTGTATTGGATTGTGTTATCATTATTGTTTTGTATGCTATTTTATTGAGCTGGGCTGTGTTTGTTTTGATGTCTTACATTTAACAACTAGACTACGAGCCCAAATTTTCTATGAATGAATAGTCACCAAGACCTAACAGAGTTGACTATTGCTCATACAAAACAAAGGTGAGTAGTCTAATTGTTTTAGTAGACACTCTAAAGTATTACAGCACAAAACCTATAATTTTGTCAATTTTCAAACCTAAGATTGAGAATAATATTCAGTTTAAAGACCAGTGCGCTTACAATCGCTGTCTTTCAGCAAATAAAAATGATGTGAGAACCAATCAGATTCGTGGAAGTATATATTTAGAAAACACCCTGATCAAACTAAAAAATTCTTTTCTTTTTTTTTTTTTTCGTCGTGTTGTTTTGTTAAAGAAATAGATTTACATGTTTTTTGTGTTTCTATCAAGTTTTAGTTTAAATCTACTAGCATTTTATCACGACTGCTGTTCTCTTATTGGCTACGCTACTCACTATCTATTCTTTTGTAGATAGCGAGTGGCCTAACAGTGTGCGGTTGTTAACAAAATGACAGCTGCTTCTTTGCATTTTCAAATTGTCTGTGACATGGATTTAGATAAAGTTTTGAATGACTAGTAGATTATTTTTTACTAAAACAATTAGATTATATGCTTTGATTTCTATGTGTGATAGAAATCTCAAACTCCATAATTGTTATTAAATAATTGTTAGATATAAAGACTTGGAAAAGTTTGTGAAAACAGGAAAAAAAGCTGGGAAACACTTATCCAGTCCAGTTCTTGCTCCCGCACCATTTCTTGCTCTCCCAAACTTCTTCTTGTGTTTGAATCTATTACCTGACAGAAACATGGGACATGTATTCTATGTAGTAAGTATCTAAGTTGTGTCATTTTGTTCTATTGTATTGCACTGCACTGCACTCCCCAGTTAACAGTTGTCAGTTATATATAAAACAGTTGACTGCTCATAAGCCAAACCCAGTGATAACTAGAGTCTCATGCTTACTCAAAGCAAAACTGATTTCTCCTGGATATGCATCTTATATCTACTTCAATTTTACTTTTGGTCACTTAAACCCTCAACTCAAACTTCTAACTTAAACTCAGTTGAAGATAGTTTTTAATCTTTCTAGTTGATTTTCTGTATAAATTTACCTTCAGTCTATCTCCAACCTTATTTGTTTAAGTCTAATGAGTCAAAGTTTTCCTGTTATCATGGACAGAAATAGATTGACTGTAAAGCATTAGGGAGTATTGAACAAACTATTTCTGAAAATAATGGTAACATTTTGCAACTATATACTATAGTAGCCCACCATGGTATTCTGTTTATTTTACTTTTGTTTGTTTCATTCGCTTGACATCTTTCTTGACTTACTCTTTTGGCGGTGTTGTCCCACTCATGCTTTCTCTTCCTTGAAGCTGATTGAAATGAACAATGTGTTATTCCCTAATTTTCAGTCATTTGTTCCCATATCCCAATAGTTCATCAAACTCCTGATACAACTCTTGATTTCCCTTGAGGGTTTGAGTTATAAAGAGTCAACTGTATTGTATTGTATTGCATTGCATAGCATTATACTGCACTGCAGTGCACTACATGGTATTAGATTTTATACCATGCCATAGAAAATACTGCCAATCAGAATAAAGGAAGACCGTTGTATACTCAATGGTATTATATCTAACCTTACCATCTTGCATTACATATATGCTGCATTGATTTTGTTGGCCACTGTATTTGGAAAGGCTATGTATATACCAAGAAAACACAAGTGACTTGTGGGATATTCCATGGTACACCAATTGAAAGAGGTTTCATTACAATTTTCAGTAGGAGGGTAATTGGTTTCCACAGGCGGACAAAACTTGTTGAACTGAACTTTTTATAAGAATAACTTTCCTGTCGATGGTCAAAACAGGCAGGCAAAATCATCCTCACATCCGGTCAATTTACCAGGTGCCCAGCCCTTAATGAAACCCCTGACAAGTATTGCATTGCTTTGTAATTGTATTGTTTGAGAAAACAATCAAACTCTTCGCCGTCAATACAACTGCAAAACACTCTGTAGGTGTCTACTACCAAATGGAATGGAAAGTGCATGTGATAGACTGCCCCCATTAAGTGCCCAACTACATGCATATATATCTGAAAAGAGCAGCTGAAAGGACAGCTGTACCAGGACGATAAACCTAGTTTTTCTTAGTAATAGGAGGGGTGATGCCCTCATAGTTAGCACGCTGGGCTCCGGATGAAGCGATCTGGTTTCGAGTCCAGGCTGGGGACATTGTGTTGTGTTCTTGGGCTTACTCTCGCATTGCCTCTCTCTCCACCCAGGTATATAAATGGGTACTGGCGACCCTAGTGCTGGAGGTAACTCGCTAGGTGTGTTGAATTTAACCCTTTGTTTAATCCTGGGATGGTGAATTTGATCGGAGCATAAACTTATTCCATGGATTAGGATGATTTAATCGTGGGTTAGGGCTAATTGGCTTTCGGTTACAACTGGAACCTGGTGTATAAATGCGTACTGGCGATCCAAGCAAACTATAGAGCGTTTTCACTGTCACGCAATAAAAAATAAAGTCAAAAACCATTCAGGGGATAAACTCAAGAAATTGTGATATTATAGAAAATAAATAAAGAAGACAGTTCTCCAAGTTTAAGGTGTGTGCGTTGTCCCAAAGTTGAGATATTCGTCGAAATGTTCCGCGCTAATGTTCAGAGCCTAGTATGGAGCCGTCATTTTGGTGTTCCTCTTTGGTACACCACTATGGCGGCTGGAGAATAGTGGTAACATCTGGAACTTACTTTGGCTATCTAGGACACTGATTAACTGTACTGAACAAACTAACATTTAAATAAGCACTTTTTCAAATACTCTAACGTCTTAAATGGCTAAAAATCACAAGATAAATACTTATTTTTCGACAAATGCGATCATAGCTTTATGTCACGCACCGCCTTAACTCTGAAATTCAAGATGCGCTGGTTTCCAAATGAAGGACACTATTGAGCTGGAAAGTTGTAAATAGGTATAAAATTAGTACCTCTTATGCCTGATGAGGATAAAAACTTTGGTGGCTCTTTAGTTTTGGATTTAAGATGATTTAAGATACGATGACGTCACGTGAAAACGTTCTGTAGTGTGAATTTTCCAGGATAATCACATGTGAACATCTCCATTTGACTTGTGAACTCATTTATATCGTGTCTAAAGTGTCAGAAGATCACAGACTTTAAAATTATATTGCATCAATTCTGGTGCTTTATGTTCGTTCTGATCTGCTGTTTTTCTTGCAAATCAGAAAAGTTAACATCTTACCTAGTTTCCTTTTATGCATATGAACTTTAAGAGGTTGAGCACGTGGAAACTTTACTACTCGAGTTGTGAGGACGCATCTTTACATGAATCGTTTCATGAGAAGACAGCAGATTTAATACGAAAATTTGCATTGGATTGAAACGGGCCATGTGTATAAAATAACCAGTACAGTCAGCTTTTCGGATGCAGGTGAAAGAATTCTTAGCCTTTTACTTTTGGCGAAAAAAGGGTTAAAGGTTAGCGGTGTAATATGCAATGTAAGTCACCAACGAAATGACAGTGAGGAGTGAGGGTTCAGATTAGAGCTGAAAAATCAGAAACGTTAGTTTAATTG